GTCTATTGTAAAGCGCTTTAATTGCCCATATTTAGGGTAGTTGGCCAAGGTTACAAGCACCAATTTACCACATACCTTTAGGCTTTTACAGGAAATATTTTAATTTCAAAAAGCCCCCATTTTCACCCACGCAACACACAGCCGATTCACTTGACAGTATATTCTGTGAAGCGCTTTGAGACGTCTGGACGATGTGATGAGGCGCTGTATCAAATGCAAGGATTATTATTATTATTATTATTTCTGAGCTGTTGACATGAGAAGCAGTGATGGGATTGTTCAGCACCCACAAGTATTTTTTTTATTCTGTGGGATGACGAGACGTAGAAATATGTTGTTTGAAAAATGTGTTGAGCCATTTTAAAGATGTTTGGAACCACATTGTTGCTCAATGGCCACAGCCTGCAGACTCTTCACAGTACATCAACGCAGAAAGACACTTTAAAATAAGCCACGGTGAGAGCTAAATGTTATATTTCTGTTTAGCAGTTTAGTTGAAGCTTATCGGGCGGTGACATATACCGAGAGCATAACCTCATCCTTGTATTTTACCGCAAAAGTCCCAGCGGGTGTTCAGGAAGACAGACAAGTCAAAGGCAAAAGGCAAAACGGACATCCGAATACGATGGCTGCCATTTGATTGGGAAATGGCCGAGTTAGTGAGTGAGCGAGTGAGTGAGCGAGGGAGTGAGGGAGGGAGGGAGTCAGTGAGTGAGTGACAGGGTCACACATGTAACAGTATGAGAATCGAGGGCTTTCTGTCTGCACTTGCTCTAACCCTCGGGCAGTGTCTGCCGTTGGGAGAGAGTAGCTAAGCCACTCCCAGATGGTTGGCAGACAGGCACTCTGTTATTAAAAACACAGAGATTCTGAGGCCTTGATCTTGTCGTATAGACTGCTAATTAGTCCCTTGCAAAAGAGTAAATGGCATGCCACGTTAATAAGAAGAAAAAGTAGAAGCCAACTTTTTATTGCCAGATTGTGATCTCTTTTGTTTTGCTAATTTTCATACTGTGCTGGCAGTTCAGGGATTGGGTCTATAGCAATCTAGTCTAGTTTTTTTTTCATTTAGACTTCAAATCAGTTACGTGTTCCTTGTGTTAAGATCGTTAAAAGCAAAAGAAAAAAAATAAAGAGAGAGGGGGGAGATTTTTTTTATAATTCTCGGGACCCTTAAAGATGTTTTTGCTGATTAACTTTTTATGTGAAACTTTTATGATAAGCAGTTTCAGGTGACGTGGGGTGCATTTGATAGACTCCAGTTACATGAAAGCGAGAGAGAGAGAAAAAAGGGAACGCAATGCACATGCACATGGCCCAACCTTGTTAAAATACCAATTGTGTCAAGTCACGAAATTAACCATGTTTGTTCTCATTAGGTTGAAGACTGCGGAGACACGGGGTTTAATGCTATTTTTTGGGGGTATTTTCTGCAGTGGTTTTTATTACTTAAGGCCATTGAAGTAAACAGCAAAAACCTTTTTGTCTTCCTCAAGGATTCTTTCTGTATTTTGTGTGAAAGGGTAGCAGCGGGAGGTTTGAGGCTTTTGTGTAACTTCTGAGAATGTTATATTGTGTTCAGATACATTTGGCACCGCACACTAATTCAGCAAAATGAACTAATGTTGCTGCTCGGATCCCTGCCAATGTGCAAAAACAAAACAGCATAAGGTCATCTAATATCACTGTGGTGGTTAGCTTATTAGGAAAATATACATTGTATGTTCTGGATGCCTTGAAAATCAAAGGGCGAAATGTTGGGCAAGTTTCCTTACTCCACACGCCTGAAAAAGTTATAATTTGATCACTCAATTCACGGCTGTTTGTGGGGACGCTGCTGTGCGCAATTGGCTGCCATGTTTCGCCCAAAAAATATACAGTCAATTCACTTTACAGTGCGCCCTAGTGAAGCGCTTTGAGACGTCTCGAAGGCGTGATAAGGCGCTGTGTCAAATGCGAGGATTATTATCATCATTATCATAGAGTCGTCTTTTTCCTTGTCTTTGTTTTCACATTGATTGTTGATCACCAGCCGTTAATAATATTATTATTATTATTATTACCAGCCGTTAAAATAAATTCTTTGCTGAAACTTCAGCAGATGCTCAGAGTTGGGAGATTTGATTGAATGTACATTGTCACATCTGGAGGACACTACTATTGAGTATTTTAACTGGAATGGGATGTTGATCTATAATAATAATAACCCTTACATGTGATACACATGATATGGCCCCTTTCACTTCGGGAAGACATTCGATATTTGACATTTGACAAAGTGCTTCACAGGATATACTATAAAGTGTAGTGAGACTGTATTTTGTTGGCAAACATTTTTTGTATCTGAACAGTTAATGAAATAAACAACCTTATACGTAATAGTAAATAATCTCGTTAGCAATTCATTTCCACATCAGAGATAAAATATCATTCTTTGTGAGTTTTGCCTCCTAGAAACCCCCCCCCCCCTCCCCCCCCAATTGATTCAGCACAGAATCTGATTCACACTATCACAAAATAATTAACACTTACGTGACCCAGGCTGGGATAGTGGATTGATAAGTGCCGTTCACATAACCAGCTTCCCATTTATTGCTATCGTTGAATAGAATCCAAAGTTCACTGTATTGTGAAGCTGGACTGTATTAGACAGTGATGAGAACCAGACTGTCAGAGGGATCAGATAGAAATCCACATCAGAAATGTGGCTTTCGGATCTGCTTCTTTGCTATAGTGCGGAGTGTTGTTAAATTACATACTACAGCGCGAGTTTGAAGTGAAAGAAGAAATAATAGCACAAATAATTTTACTGCCGTATTATTACTTGTGCAATAAATGATCACCTAAAGCGTTTTGCCAACAAAATGCACAGTTAATTCACATTACAGTATATTGTGAAGTGCTTTGAGACGTCTCGAATACGTGATAAGGCGCTATATCAAATGCAAGAATTATTATTATTATTATTAAGTGATTTAGATAGAAAACAAAATCCTTTGATCATTCAGACAATAAATCAGCAACCTGCAAGGGAGAAAGAATAGTGTTGAGGTTAGGTTGCTGAATGTGGTTATGATAGGATTGTTTCATTCTGGGATCCACATGGACAGAATGCTGTGTTGACTTTCAGATGAGAGAGACTTGATAGCGCAGCTCTGCTGGAAGTTAATTTCTGAACAATAAAATGTACTATTCAGTCTTGTTCAGCTAATTTAGCCGATCAGTGTGGGCCTCAGTGTCTTTTTGGGACAATGTGTGTCTAGTTAGGAAAGCCAAAAAGCTCTCTTTTTTTTTAAAAATCAAATCTCTGGATTTCAGATTTGTGATCTGGACATATGTTCAAAGCAACATTTGTTAACCACATGTGTGTAGAAGGCACTTTCGCCTCAGATCTGAAATCGCTGTGAAACATAGCTTATGAAATGTGAAGCATGTAATTGTGAAGGTGTGTCTGTGTTTAGAATAACTGTCCCTGTTAATGTACAAGTCGATGCTTTGCGTTCATATTTTGTTCGATTTCTTGGGACCAAAAATACTGACAGGTTAATTGAAAGAAATGCAAGAAGGAGTTTTATTTTCCTCCTCTCCTCTCCAGTTTCTCCCGACTGCCCTGAAATCGCTAACTTATGGCCATGTAGTTTTTCAAAGGGCCTGGGAGCGCTCTGGTATCTCACTCAAGTGGTCGGTCTTTATGTGTGAGCCTTGAGGGTGAGTGTCAGCAGGATGTTTGACTCCAGAGGCCTTCATACCCAATCCTGATTCTGTCCTTCTTTAGAGATAATTGCATTTGTCAGGAGATCCTCAATCACTTGGATGGGTGTCCTTGTGAACTACAGTTTAGTAAAACATCTCGTATCAGAGGCAGATTGCTAGTAAATGCACCACTGGGTAATGTGCAGATTTACTCTTTCTTACCAGGTTGCAGTGTATAATAAAATAAATACAATAACTCTATCAGAACTCGGCTCCTCCCTTCTCCTACATCTTCTATTCCTCCTGCCTCAAGTTTCTTCTTCACGAGAGTTTCCAGTAGTGGCTTCCCCAATCTCACCACCCTCTGCGTAAGGAATATCTCACACAATCTCTTCTTACTATTATACAGTTACTAGTTCCAACCTCTGGCCTCCATTATATTGTATTTTTTTCCTTTTCACCCCGCCATCAAACAAAGGTTTAGAATAAACGTAAACAACTCCCCTCGTGCTCTCCTCCAAACTATTTTGCTAGTGTTTCTGTAACAGAGTGGATGAGTTCGCTAATATTTAACACCCTACTAGGTTTCATCAGTCACCATCCGGCTTTACTTATCACAAGGGGATGAAGTGTGCTTGGATGATTTATCCCAAATTGAGAGCTTTGGATTCAGATTGACTTCCAGACAGCTCTAATGTTTTAAAGACTCTTCCCCTCCCCACCCCCCACCCCCCCAATGCTACATGGATAACACAATGTGCTTGTCTGTACCAGTCTTCCTGCATGAATTGTTCGGTGTAAAGCCCCTTTTTCATAATCTCATTAGCTTGAGACGTTTTATTCAGTTTTTTAATCTGAAACAAGGTGAATGGCTGGACTTAATTTTCCTCGGCAAGTCTACTCTGCAAGAGTTATGTTTGAAGTCCGCGTTCCTTTTGCATGTAGTTTATAATCTTATATATTAATCCTCATCTCATTTAAACGTCCCTTTGTGCTAAAAGCAAACTGTTCATTACCTTTATCAATTAACAAGTTCTCGTTTTTAAAAATTAATTCTAGGCTATTATAAATCTCCACACAGTTCTAGACATCTTCACTCTACTTATTATTAATTATTTGAGGAAGTAAAGCATACAAATTACATGTGTATAGCGGCTTTCACATCAGGAGGCTGAACAGTCAGGGAACTCAATACAAAAGGAACTTAAAACCCGAGATTGAATCTTTAATGAACCCTGCAAGAATTGTTTTCTTTGTAAATAACTATGCGTAGTAAAGACTAAAGGATTTATTTATGTCTTTCGCAGCTAGAAGAAGAGTTGGGGAAAGAAGAAAAGGAAAATTTGGCATTGCAGGAATACACCAACAACCTGCTTCAACTAATCTCCGATCTGCTACCTGACGTCCTGGAGCAAGTCGTCAAAATGCTGGAGGAAGCTGTGTGATCCGTGTAGGAAGGAAGTGAGGAGTTGCTTAAATTCTGGAGTTATCACACATGTCCTGAAAAGCTTGGTGAAATCGCTTCGTTCAATCCGATCGGATCAATGGAAAGAGAAGATGGTGTTTCAAGCGTTCAAAGTAGCGTATGGCAACCTGGACCATCGTCTCAAAGCCACTCTTCAGCAAGTTGTGTTTGTGTATAACTTGACAGAATATTAAGCCTAAATTGTTCCAGAAATAAAATCTCAGCGATTATTTAGTGGCATTTTTAATAATGATCTGTACCTCCCGAAACCAGCATTGAGATTAGAAAGTCCAGGTGGTGTCAGGGATTCAGATACATCTCAACTCCCTTCTGGACATGGCTCACTGATTATACGGCCTTTCCAAGTGTCCTCTCCTCTGTCTGCTTTTAACCCACTTATCGTCAACCTCTGCTGAGACTGCAGCCACAACGAGTTCAGGGAATTCCACCAGTAATCTTTCCTTACTTTCTTGTACCTTAGCTACGCTCACATCTAGACTTCCAAAGGGGCGAGAACCAGGTCAGGAGTTTTGTAAAAAAAATCTTTTCATATTTTTAGTGGGCAATGTGCACTAAACGCGAAACTCGCCATCTCTTGTTGTCTGAAAGAGTTGGGTTTTAATGGTGAAAGAATTCTCAAACAGTGGACGAAGATTATCCTTCTGAATAAAGAAACCTGTGCCTCTCAAAATGTACTGTGCAGCTGAATATGTTGATTAGATGATCACATTTTAACAAGGAAAAGTGGTAAATGTGGAAGAGTATTTAAAATTCAGAAGGTTGCCCGTTAGACTGGGGTTGCTGTATGTAAAGCACACGTCAGTAACTATGTATTGTTCTTTCTTACTGATATAGCTCATTGCTCTGATGGTAATGGTTGTAGTTTATACCATTACGATCAGGTTCTTAAAGGAATTCATTACCACTTGATTTCTAAGCCTGACAATTTGTGCATATGTATAATTGAGTTCTTAATGTCCCTTCACATTCCATAGCAGTCGCACTTTACTGCTGTGAGAGGAGGACCAATAGAAAACTTTTTTTTTAAAAAAATAAAAAAAAACTGCTTAAGTGAAACCAAACCTCAAGAGCTTTCGTCAGTAAAAGGGCGAAAGCTCTTTGGAATATGTTCAGCACATCTGGCAAAGTTTGCACTCACAGAGAACACAGGCAACAAGACGTATGTAAGTAACATTGTTGTCACTTTGCGGTGATGATCTTTCCGAGTGCCCTAACAAGCAGTTCTCTATGTTTCTCAGTACATCTGAATACTTGAAGTAGGTGTTCCTACCACAAGGACCTAATAAAGTAGATGTCATAGTCAAAGCATAAAAGCGATGATGTTTAGCTGTTAGATCATTTCTATGTAATGTGCCAATCTTGGAGCAGTTATTGTATTGGGGACAATGATGTTGTTCCTCGGATTATAGTTTAAACCTCAAACCAGGGTCTCAATATAAAACTCTGTGGGCAAAGGAGACCTGTTGCTCCATCAAATGAACATGGACACTTCTCATCGCATATTTTACATCAATACATTTTCAGTATATTTTTTTTGATACTTCGGTGTAGAACTCTGGGTTAAACACTGTGATAAACAGAGTAACAAAATAAACTACCAGTTCACCCACCGCTTCTCTTTACCCTCGGCTCGTTTTCAGGTCAATAACTTGACCGGGTGTTCTGATTGCTATTTGCGACTGTACTACTACATACCGTGTCAGTTTACTGTACAGTAATTTTTTTTTGTATTTGAGATGTGTGTAACGAAAAAAAAGCACGTAAATTCAGTTTGACTGTCATTTGAAAGTGGATTAAAGATTTAATTTCTGAATAGTGTTTACAAGCGGACCATAAAAATGTTGGCACAATGTTTATCTGCAATGTAGTCGTGTAGAATGGTGTTTGAATGTGATGTACTGGAACAAGTGGATCAGTGATTCCCCAAGGTAGCCCCTTAAATGTCCTGTCAAATTCTAGTAACCTCTAGTCCAATTATTTTTCCCAAGTGCGTGGCATGTCATGGGTTCTGCTGTTGATATGTGGTGAAGATGTTGACATGGTACCAAAAGGAATACTCGAGTATGGTTTAAAAAACAACCATGGGCATGTTTCAAAACTGTTATTGTACATCATTATCTAGTAGACATTTAGAGGATTTAAAAGAAACGTATACCACATTCGAAACATTGTCATCAATGTGCAAGAAATATTTAGCGTTGACCAGCTTGTTTATATTCATTAAATAAAGATTTCTTTCTGATATTAGTGTTGGTCGTGTCTGATAAAGAAATATGCAGGTTCTGGTCGTGGGATGTTGATCGTTTCTCAAATTTCACTGATGAATTGTGTCGAGGGAAATTTAGCTGAGAATTCTTATCTTTTGGCAGCTTCTCTGCTTCTGTTGTCCTTTAACTTCCTTCCCCTCATTTACTGGACAACCAACCTCCTTCACTGCACGGGCCATTGTGTATGTCGTACACCTCTGATGGGCCAAACAAATGTGCAAAGAATCTCTTTTCTTCAATTTAAGTTTCTGTTATGTTGACCATTGTACTTGGCTCCATGGCCAATCCAACACGTGATCATGGAAATGCTGCCCACACGTGACAGCTGAAGCTTGAGTATAGGGCAGCGTTTCATACAAATGGGGCAAGTCCCTCCACCTCGCCCCCTCCCTCGCCGCCTTCATGACCCACCTCAAGACCCTCCTTTTCGGCTGTGCTTTCAATCTCCCTGCTTCCCCCCCTGCCCTCCACCCTCCCCCACCCTGACCCTCAGCTCGGGTCCGTAACTCTGTCCAGCACCTTGCGACATCCTCCCAACATGAAAGGTGCTTTACACGTGGAATTTTGTTGTTGTTGTAATTGAGGGAAAGCAATATTAAAGATGGAGGCAAATATCTGTCAACCTTTAGTAATCTGCTAATTAAATGTCTGGGTGATTAGTTATAAACTCCACCAATTAAGCTGGTTACACACACTCTGAGGATATCAAGCATTGGCTCTTGTCACCTGTGCTTAAACTCTGGGAACAGGAAACACAGAGAGAGAGAGAGAGTCGGTGATATTCTACAGACAGACAGAAACCATAGATATCTGCAGCTCTCATGAGTTTGGAGACTCCTTTAAGTAGAAGTGATGGGTTTCTACATATGCCAGATACCTAACTGACCAAAAAAAGGATATATTGAATCCATGTATAATATATATAGGTATATATGCATTTTTCTGATGACCGAAATTGTTATGTTCAGTCTTTTTTCTTCCCTAGTTATTTCACATCTGGTTACAAACAAATTTTCCCCCTGCCTTCCTTCAAGTAATGTTCTAAAGCAGGTTTCTACATGATGTTAGTTGGAGGAGGGGGAGGAAGTAAGAATAAAGGAATTTCTTTGTACTGTATATGGGTATTCCAGGGTTTCTTAGTTTTCGTTTATCTTTGAAGTTCGGAGACAGCCTTCTGGTGCTGGAGTCCAAGTCAAAGGAGCCTGGAAAAGGAGTTCCCTCCAGATGGCAACTTCTCAATTAATTCTCCCACAGGACAAGGAAGTGACCGCCTAGCACCAAGGTATAGTCAACCTCCCTTTTGACCTTAAAAACCTTTGAAGTGCCGGATTGGCAGAATACTTTAGCCTGTTAGTTTGAAACGCTCATAATAAAAGTTTTCGTCAGTGTTCTGGCTCAATCTCCATATAAAGTTGATGGATATCAGACGCAGTTACTCGTTTTATCAAAGACCCACTGCTGGTGAGTGTTGGGAGAAACAGGACTGATTTTTCAATGTGTTTTCAGGTAATGGATTTAAGTTACACGGGGAAACTATTCCTGCATATTGGATTTTTTTTTCGTAGGACATACTGTGTTCTGTCCTCACTTGGAACTTTATGACAATGACAACCCGTTTCAAGCACTGGTAGTGTCGCAAACAACTTGGTGGGCCAAGGTGACCGTAAGCACGGTCAACAAGGCAGGTCTTCAGGTGATCTGAAAATGGGGAAGAAGGGGGTGGAGCAAGGCGAAGGGATTGAGGGACAGAGTTCCAAAGTTTCGGGGAGTAGCGGCCATCGATGGTGGAACGGAGGAGGGCACGGGGGAAAAAAATGTTGCAATGTACAGTGTCTTCATATTCTGCAAGATTATAGGCTGTGATTTGGAACCACATTTTTATTCAGTGAAAATAAATTCAGATCATTTTGACATGCCCCCTGCTGACATTGACATCATCTTAACAGGAGTTAAAACATTCACAGGATTTAAAACACTCACAGTGGCAAAACCCCATTTAGTTCCACAAAGAGAAGCTAACGATAGTCATCTTTCTAATATAAAGCATATGGAAACCTATCTTCTGATCTGAGTTGGTTCTTTCTGATAAAAAGTGCTGTATACTTAAGGCCTGATGGCTTGCATCTTGGAGATTGAGATGAAAGTAAACAGCTCCTTTGTTTGACGCACAAAACGGGAAAGGGCGATTGATGTATATGAATGTTTTCTATGCAAATTAACCTCATATGGAGAAAAATAACTTATTAAAAGATAAAGGTAATCTACACTTGGAAATCGCTTTATAGTATATTGTAGACAACCCTCTGTAGGACTATTTATTCTCTGTGACTGCGGTGCATTTGCGAGAACTGTTGAAATGTTTCAGCTAATTGTGTGGTGCTTCTCAGGAACAGGAGGAGGCCATTCAGCCCCTCGAGCCTGTTCCGCCATTCTATAAGACGATGATTGATTTGTACCTCAACTCCAATTACCGGCCCTCACCCCGTATCCCTTGATACCCCGACCTCACAAACATCTATATCCACCTCAGTCTTGAAAATTTGAATGGATGTAGCCATAATCCGCAGCCTTTTATCTCAGTGGTCAGATAACGGTGTAAACCTTACTTAGTGTCCTTCATTTATTGATTTGACAGAAGCAACTTTCACGTTAGGAAAGTTGACTTTGAAACATAAGCTTCCAAATTCAGCACTCTCTCTCTCTCCTAGAATCGAATTACCAAAGTGATTGACTGCTGAATAGCCATTTGCCCCGGAAAAACAATTCATTACTGAAGCAAATACGATTATAATCTCAAACCCTTAAACCACATGACCTCTGACAAACTCAAATACCTTCCTCCTGGTTCATTAGCGAAGCCCAACATGTTGCCATGCTGCGAACTTGGGTATCACCTGCTCAAAGGAAACTGTCGGTCACTCCAATCAGTTCATTAACACCATACCACAGGCAGTGGTTTCAGAGATATAAAAACTAACTTTGACAAAATTTCTTTCATTAATAGATTCACAATGTTATACAATTCTCCCTCGATAATATGAGCAGAAAAATCCTTGCACTTGATCCAGCGCCTTGTCACGTCTTAGAGACACCTCACTTCACAGCACTTCACAGAATGTAACGTAAAGTGAATTTAAACATTTTCCACAATTCAGCGCATAAAAATCTTAAGACAAAAAGGTCTGAGAGACTGAGACTCAGTGGAACTTTGCACCTCTGGGCTGGTAATTTCCACTTTGAGACGTGGAAAATTGAAAATTTGGCAAATAAAAGCACTTTGGGCATTTGACTGAGCGAAAAAGTGACAATGCATTGTGCAGGAGTGGATGTGTGAATGATAAAGTGCTACACTGTGCAATATTTAACCTGAGAGCCTTCACCACAGTCATTGTAAATTGAAAAATATCAAATAGCAGCTCAAAAGAACATATTAATGACTAGAAAAACGCTAAGTTATTGGTTATTACATTTTAATTTGAAATTGAAAAAAGATGTATTGTGCAGTAGCCGATAACTCCCGTCAGACTCGATATAATATCTACCAAATTGCAAACCATTTTTAATGCAGGTACCATGCACCAGTGTTCAGAACCGACTTGCATCCCGTTTTCTGCAGTCTTTGCGATTAATCATCTTTAATATTCAAAACGCAAACCTTACGCAAAAGAGTGCAACTATAACAAGTTTGCAGCCTTCTCACCTCAGGTGCTGCCAGCATTGATCTGAGCAGAATCCTCATCCGTGCCCTCACGTCCTCAGCCAGTCTGAAGCACTTGACTTCAGCACGAAACCTGCATGTAATTGTGGGCTCGAACTCCACCTGGGTCTGAATTTATTCCATTAAAGTTTATTAAAGAGATTTGGTCCCATTCTTCAATGCAGCGTTTAATTTCGAAGCCGGTTTAAGTTAAGTTGCTTTAAAGAACTTTAAAGAAAATGAGCTTCAAAGTTAAAATTGAAATTCATCGGTTTGCCAAACTCGGAACCCTCTGAAATGCTACATTAGTTAATAGAGTAAATCTAGACCCAGGTGGAATTTCTGCCCTGCGTTTCCTTAACAGATGTTTGTACGATGGAAAATGTCACACCTGGAATTCTCGTGCTCAAACCATTAAGTGGGACAATCAGACAAAAGAATGTATTACAATCATCACTTATTCTTAAAAGGCGCTCGCATTTTTACTCTGTTTTTTTACACTGATGGTTTTTTCACAGAATTATACTTCAGGGAACTTTGGCTGCACTGTGTCTCAAACATTACACATTACACAAGTGCCTTAAAGCGAGGAAATGTCCTGTAGTATTAAAGACCAAGTTTGGGATTAATTAGTAACTAGAAAAGTGAATTCCAGATGAGAGCAATTTCTGTTAAGAGCGTCTGTGGGGGAGGGAGGGAGGAGGGAGCTCTTTCCTCCAAAGAGGAACTTACTAATAGCAGCGAGTCCTTAAATTATTTTTTACTCGGTAAAGCCAACGTCAATGGAATAAAATGATCAGGAGTTTATGGCACAACTTTCTCATTCTACTCTATACACAAAATGAGACGACAAGAAAAGGGAAACATTCTTTTCAATGACACGATTGTGAGAGGAACTGAACCTATTGGTTTATTGGTTCAATAATTCTTTTGTCTATAATTGTGTTGTGTTAATCCTAACCACCGATCTGCCCTCTCTACATATAATTACTCCATGGGTGGGGGCGGGGTGGGGCAGGGTGGAGATAATTAAGGTCCTCTTGAAGCTGAGCTGGCACCAAGGTGATGTACTTGGCAAAGGAATGTCAGAATCGGGTCAACCCGCTGTGGCGGTCTTTGTAAACTGGTTCCTGTGCCAGGCGAGTCCGCATTACTCCAGAGCTCTGCTCCTGATAGACCAGTCAGTCAGCCCGGCTCATTGGCAGGACTCAAGAGACAGAGACCATGATTATGGGACA